TGACTGACGGGAGAATCTCCCGCCTTGATCAGAAACAGAAGTGACTGATGGGAGAATCTCCCGCCTTGATTAGAAACAGAAGTGACTGACGGGAGAATCTCCCGCCTTGATCAGAAACAGAAGTGACTGACGGAAGATTCTCCCGCCTTGATCAGAAACAGAAATGACTGACGGGAGAATCTCCCGCTTTGATCGGAAACAGAAGTGACTGACGGGAGAATCTCCCGCCTTGATCGGAAACAGAAGTGACTGATGGGAGAATCTCCCGCCTTGATCGGAAACAGAAGTGACTGACGGGAGAATCTCCCGCTTTGATCGGAAACAGAAGTGACTGACGGGAGAATCTCCCGCCTTGATCGGAAACAGAAGTGACTGACGGGAGAATCTCCCGCCTTGATCGGAAACAGAAGTGACTGACGGGAGAATCTCCCGCCTTGATCGGAAACAGAAATGACTGACGGGAGAATCTCCCGCTTTGATCGGAAACAGAAGTGACTGACGGGAGAATCTCCCGCCTTGATCAGAAACAGAAGTGACTGACGGGGGAATCTCCCGCCTTGATCAGAAACAGAAGTGACTGACGGAAGAATCTCCCGCCTTGATCAGGCGAATGTAGCGGCCTCTTGTGGCTGGAAGGGGTCACATGATCCCGTGGCACGAGAGACGTACGTGATTTTTTCCAATCTTAATTTCCTCTTCCTCAACCCACGCGTTTAAATGTGTGGGTTTCAGAATCGATATTTCAGTACATTGCTTAAGCCACGCATCTTCCTCACCACGCTTACCTGCCTATATGGAGGTAGGCCTCCATGAACAGATGTTTTTTGGGTTAGATCGTGCAAATATGAATGCTTCGTTAAACCTGCTGCAGCCTATTAGTACGGTCTGTCACGTAAACAAAACATGCCACTTCGTTACTAGTTCAGCACCAACCGGTGTGTTGGAGAGTAAACCCACTACGACATTTACCGGGGGCAGGCCTGTACGCACGCAGCGCGCGTGTACAAATTACTGACAAATCGGAAACCCTTTGAGTGACGGCCAAAATGAGTCCGCAATTTAAACCCCATCGGAACTCCCTCTTGAGCATTTGACATGATATATATTACACATGCACGTGCTGCAGCAGGATGATATATACGCGCGCTGCATTAAAATGATATACATGCGTGCCTGCCTGCCTGTATTAGAACCACGGTTAACTGCCGTGGACCTATACATTTTTTAAGCTTTCGTGACTGCAGGGATTCATATTCTTGGTTCTTTCGGTAAAGTCACGTAGAAGGGAAACAATGTTTATTATTGTATTGTTTCCCTTCTACGTGACTTTACCGAAAGAACCAAGAATATGGCGTGGACCTGTGAGGTGTCAGGAGAATGAATGAAGGACACCTTCAAGGTCACCGCTGTGCCCTTCGTTGGAGAACGCGGCGGTGAGATGTCAACTACCTCGCCTGGTATACAGGAGGTCGAGGGTTCGATCCCGACCCGGACGCCTACTGTATATTTGGAGTTTGCGGTGTCTCTCTCTTCGCGTGGATGTCTCTCCGGGTCCACCGTTTTTTTTTCCCCCTCCACAATTTAGAATCAACGCGTTAAGATTATTTGGCCGCAATACATTTTCACACGTGATAAGCCACTTCTCTTTGGGCTATCATCTGTGGCCAGTTCGCTTCTGAAAAAGAGCTACTTAGGTCAGTGAGCCTTCCACCTGGTAAAATGTTAAAAAGAAAGTTGAGTTTTTTTTTAGTTTGGAATTGCACGGCGAGACGGCAGGAGGAGCGCGTGAAGGAGAGCGATCAGCGGTGGAGGACGTGTGACTGTGGCATCGCAGCAACACGAGGGATGGCGATGGAGCGGGGAGGCCTTCATCCAGCAGTGGATAGAGTGTGGCCGATGATGATGTGCGCGCGACACACTCTGGCACGTTAGCCCCACCCGAATCTCGACCCCTTGGAAAGGTCACCTCGAGGTCTCCGTATGTAATACTGGAAAAGGAACATGTCGAGCAAGTTTAAGATTTGCTCAGATGCGGTTATCTTATGTTTAAAGCCCCCTGAGCCAGTGGTGTAAATTCCACATTCCTATGGCAGGGGCGATTATATCCACATGACAACCGCTCTTGACTTCCCCCACAAAGCGGTACTAATTTTATCGACCCTCTCCCAAACAGAATTTGAACTCCGCGCCCTTCCGATTGCGAGCCGCTCGCTCCGCCGCTGAGCCACCTAGGAATGGCAGCAGCAGCAGCCAGGGCTTCATCAGTTGGAGCTGTCCGGTGGGGAGGAGGGGGTGGGGGAATGAGAAGTGGGGGAGGGTGGGGAGGGAGTTGGGGGGGTGGTGGATCCAAGTATCCGGTTGAGACGTCACATGCCTCCGCCAACCACGACACCCACCGCTCCCAAACGCAATCCTGCGATTCACGTAAACCGGGGGGGTCTCGGCAAAACCCCCGGCCATCCGGAGCCGCACGGGGCCCTTCAAGGACTGCAGCGTCGTGACGTTACTTATTCGCCGCGTTGCATTGCGGCTCTCGAAATGTCTAAGGTTGATTCCCTTCTTTTTTTGTACCGAATTCTAAAAACAAAAAGTCTCCCTCTCGTTGTTTCGGGTTTGCCGACAACCACCCCTGGCGTAAAATGTCGCGCGATCCCACGGCGCGTGTCGCGAGCGAGCGCCAACGACCGCTCGCCGATCCCACGAGGCCGATCGCTTCCGTGCGTGGCGGACAAAGAAACCTCCCCCCCCCCCCGCCCCCCGCCGCACCCCTTCAAACAATGAAATGACAGAACAAAAGTTTACATCGGCAACGCTGAGAGAGCGATTCGGAGCTACGGACTGCAGAACTCCCCCCCGCCACCAATCCGGCAAAAACAACGGCAAGCGGGGAGCGAGCGAGCGAGCGTTTCTCACGACGTCGCGCTGCGGTTGCGGCATTGGCGACGTCGCTGCGGAGCCGTGTACAGGCGGTGAAACTGCGCCAGAAGCCCCACGGGAAATTGCAACCGGGGGCTGGAGGGGGCCCTAGAGCCACCGGGCCACGAAGACGGCCCAGGGTAGGTGGGGGGGGGGGGGGGGGCATTGCGCTGTGGGGCCGAGGGGCCAGAGAGGACTACCAAGGGGAACAAAAAACATCGAAACGGAGCTTCCAATTCTATTCGTGGCACCGGGGGTCCCGTGCCAGCCACTGGGCAGTGGGCAAAGAGCTCGGCGGAGGTGCGTGCCATCGCAGCTTCGTGACGACGACAGATTCGTCGTCGCGTGTCGCTTGTTGTTGTTGTTTTTGTGTGTGTGTGTGTGGCTCGCCGACGGCTCCTCGAGCCAGCAGAGTTTTTTTTGTTTTTGTCAGAGTCCACTTTTGCGTCGGGAGACGCACGGGCGGTCCGCACGGTCGCCACAGTTCTGCCCACTCGGCACTTGCAGTCATCTCTGTTATCCTGTAGTTGGGGGGGGGGGGGGGGGGGGTTTCGAGGGCTCTATGTATTTATGTACATTGTGGTTGTGCGTGCGTGCCACTGCGCGTGTCACTGCGTGCGCGCGCCTCCCATGGACCGAATCCTTTCTCGAAATTATTCGCACGCGAAATCACGACTCTTCGTGGCTATTGGTACGAGTCACACACTCAGACGTCAATGTCCAACGGTGGCGATGAAGATTACGATAAGTATGCATATGATGAAGATGGTGACGATTTGTTAAACGATTATGTATTTTCACAATAGACAGTTGCATTGTTGTAGTTTTGACAGCGGTCGGGGCTGCCAAGGGTTGTCGTGGGGGGGGGGAGGGGCGATCTGCCACGGACCTCACAAAAAGAGGGCCCCAAAAATCGGGCCTGAGGACGAGGAGCACCCACGCGGAATTCCACCCCTGGCCTCTTAAAAAAAAACCCTCTCAGCGATGGTGTTGATGTCACGTGATATGTGGTGATGTCACGTGATTCGTGGTGCCGCTGCTGAAATTCACTTTTTGATGCCGCTGCTGCTGATGGTGATTGATGATGATGGTGGTGGTGAAACTTGCCACTGGTGATGCCGATAAATACCGTTGCTCATTGATCACCGTTAGTTATTTTTGATTTGTCATGAATTGTGCTGATGATGACGACGGTATTTATTTTAAATTACTTTCCCGCTCATTAAAAAAAGTGTGTGGGGGGGGAAATACATTAATTGCCGTGGTGACAGCGATGGCGACGACCGTGCGCGTTGCGTTTCAACTCAACAATTGCCGATACCGAATTGACTTGACGACGATGGCGACGACGATGAACGACCTCGTAAAATAATTCACCCACCACGCGGTGGAGGGTTGAGGGGGGAGATAAAATTTGTAGCCGTGCGGCGGCGTCATCGTCGTCGGTCGTAATTCGATTCGGGAATAATTTTCCGCTCACAGTGGCGCTGCCCACACGTCGAAAATAATCGTCGACGCTGAAACGTTGCGGCGGGCTGAGCCGTCTGCGCGTCGTGATGCTTAGCGGCAATCGTGGGGGCGGCGACAGTGTCGTCGCTCGATTTGAACGCCGGGAATTATTTGAAAACAACGCAAGAGCGATTTGGGACGATGACAAATTACTCGGGGAGATCAATTTAGAACGGCGAGGTTCAAAGCTGGGAAACTGTGTTCAATGCGAACCGGGTGGCTGTGAGCAAACGGACGGTGGGTTCTGAATGAGGACAGCGATGATTTTGACCAACAACTTATTTTAAAGCACCGACGGTGGTGAGCGATTGACGACGATGACTTTGAACGAGTTTGCGATGACGTCGCGGGCGGCGACGATCTCCACTGGCGATGACGATGGCGGCGCAGAGTGACGACGAGGCCCTGGACGACCGTAACGTTCGCACGTCCCGCACCATCGTCTCTACCACCACTCGCAGTACCACAACCACCAGCAGCAGAAGCACCACCACAAAGCAGCACCACCAGCAGCATCATCATCATCATCAGCACCACCACCAGCAGCATCATCATCATCATCAGCGGCACCAGCATCAACAGCGGGAGCACCACCGCGCTACAGGTTGGAGGAGAGCCTGGCCCGTGCGGGCTCGCCGCCCTCCCCGGCCACCACCACCGAGTCCCTCTTGACGAGGCTCAGCTCCCGCGAGAGCGGCGCCCCGGGCACCCACGGCACGCCGCCGTGGGTGCCCACGGACGCCGACGAGAGCTGGCGCCGCAGCAGCGTCGCCGCCCTCCCGCGCGACGGCCCCTGCCGCTGAGCGGCGGCGCCGGCGGCGGCGGCGGCGGCTGCCGTCGTGGGCAACATCGGCGGCGGCAGCGGCCCCCACCGCGCGGGACGCCGTCCCGCCGTCCGCGGGGCCGGTGCCGGGGCCCATCCCGCCCGGCGACGCGGCGGCCGACGGCGCCGGCGCCGGCGCGGCTCGCGCCGGCGCCCCGCCGTCGTGGTGCTTCAGCGCCGGCTGCGACTGCGAGAGCGGCCGCGCGTCCCGGCTCAGCGCCGTAGCCGCGGCGCCGACGCCGCCGACGCCGGCCGAGGAGGAGGCGCCGGTGCCGGCGCCCGCGGTCGTGCCGCTGCGTCCCAGCGTCTGGGCGCTGCGGTGGGCGGCCCTCCGCGGCGTGCGCGGGGGGCTGCCGCCAGCCTGCTGCTGCTGCTGCTGCTGGCGCGGCGAGCGCGGCCGCGAAGGGGAGGAAGGCCCGGCCTTCGCCGAAGCCCCGCGGGAGGCGGATGGCACGGAGGGCGGCGGCGGCGGCGGCAGCGCCGGCGGCGGCGAAGTCGCGGCGCCGATCGACGGCCAGAGCCACGTGGCCGCCGGCTGCTGCTGCTGCTGCTGCTGGGGCGACTGCGCCGACGACGGCGGCGCGGAGGAGCGCGGCCGGTGCTGCGCGTGCGGCGTGGTGCCCTGGTGCGTGAGCGCGATGGTCACGGAGGCGGCCGTGTTGATGAGGGAGTTGACGGCGGCGCTGCCGCCCGGCGACAGAGCCCCCTGCGCCTGCTGCAGCTGCTGCCGCTGCTGCGCGTGCTGCTGCGCGGCGGCCTCCTGCAGGGTCATCTCGCGGTCGTAGCGCACGATGCGCTGGATGATGTCGTGCTCGCTCGTGTTGAAGATGCCCTCGTTGAGGTCGTCTTGCATCTTGTGCAGCAGCATGGAGTTCTTCTTGCCTGCCGCGGGCCGACAGCGTTTCGACGGTGAGAGGAGACACGGACCACCAGAGAGAGAGATCATTCACCATCCCTCCCCCCCCCCCCCCCCCTTAACGCCTCGTCTGGAACAGATGGGATAGGTCTGCCACCACGGCATTCTGGGAGTAAGTAGTTTCAGCAGCAGCAGTATTGGTTCAATGCGGGCAAGGCAAGGCTCTGGACCGGTTTTGACATTCAGTGTCTCAGAGCAGCTCTGAAAGAGGATCGGTTCTTCGCCTTTCAGTTTCTCTGGAATTTGGTGAATTGCAAATACACCCACTCACTCAACCACTCGCCCTTCCCACTCACCCAATCAACCACCCAATCACCTACTCACCTATCCGCTCACCAACTCGCCCACCCATCCACTCACCTACTTATCCATTCACTCACCCACCCACTCAACCACTCACCTACTCACCCACCCACTCACTCACCCACCCACTCACCTACTCACCTGCACACTCCTCATCCACCCACCGCCTACACGATTATATTTGGCACAATGCGGAGTTCTGTGGGCCATGATTTGGCCTGGGAGGGGGGGGGGGGTCGAGGAGCTCTCATAGTGAGGGGCGAGAGGGAGCAGGGTAATAGGAGACCGTGTCTACAGGGTGGAGGGTGGCGCACGCTCTTAATGGCTCAATGTTGGCGAACAGGACACCGGTGATGGTGGGGTCACATCCCCCCCTACCGATGTGGAGCCGACGCGTCCCAAATATTAATTGATTGTTCGGCTGGATAAAGGCACGAAGAGTGTGTGTGTGCGAGTGCGTGTGTGTGGGAGGGTTGTGGGGAGCGATAGTGTAGCGGTTAGCGCACTGCGCTATGAACCTGGCGACCCGGGTTCGATTCCGGCTCACGGCCAACACCAGTGACGATTATCTGAACCGGTCCCGGGCCTCCCCTAGGTCGACTCAGCCTCAAATGAGTACCTGGTGCGGTGTGTAAGCATCGTCACTAGGGAGACAAAGGCGGTCGGGCGTGGTGCTGGCCACCCACCCCCTCGTGTACCGTTCCGGCCTTCATAGGTGCTCGCTAACAGCACTTGCCCCTACAGTCTGTGAAGGCTATACGGGGGATCTTTATCTTTGTGTGTGGGAGGGTGCGAGTGCGTGGATTAAGTGGGTGTTGGTGCGAGTGCGTGGTCTGAGTTCGTGTGTGGGGGGTGAGTGCATGTGTGTGGGGTGTATATGTTGGGGTTTGTGTGGGGGTGTGAGTGCGTGTGTGTGGGGGGTGAGTGCGTGTGTGTGGGGGGTGAGTGCGTGTGTGTGGGGGGTGAGTGCGTGTGTGTGGGGGGTGAGTGCGTGTGTGTGGGGGTGTGAGTGCGTGGGGTGTGAGTGCGTGGGGTGTGTGTGTGTGGGGTGTGAGTGCGTGTGTGTGCCAGGCGTGGTGCTGGCCACCTTTGTGCCGTGCCGGCCTTCATAGGTGCTCGTTGACAACACCTGCCCCAACCTTCCATTACATCAAACACGAGATTGGATGGAGCACGTGTGTGCGCGCGCACGTGTGTGCACGTGTGTGCGTCAACGTGTCTCTCCTGAAATATTATTTGCCCTTTGGCTCTGAAGGAAATGGCTTTTAAGTGACCTATGTTCTTTCCACTCATTTAACTCACAGCTCTGTCTTGCACTCAAAACGACACGGCCATAAATCATTCTACCGGTGGTGTGTAGTCGGGAAGGCCGCTCTACTTCGATGATTGTAAACCGGTAAGCAAGCTCCAACCTGCTTGCTGTTATTGGCTTCAGCGTCACGCTCTTCGAAAAGGTGAGCGGGAATCGAATTCGGGTCGCCCGGTTCGTGGCGCAGCGCGCTAACCACTACACCACCGCTCCCCAAAGACGAAGATCCCCCGTATAGCCTTAACAACCTGTTGGGGCAAGCGCTGTTAGCGAGCGCCTACGAAGGCCAACGCCACGCCTGACTGCCTTTGTTAACCCAGTGGCAATGCTTACGCACCGCACCCGGTCCTCATTTGAGGCTGCGTCGACCGAGGGGAGGCCCAAGACCGGTTCAATTAATCGCCACTGGTATTGGTGGCGCCGGGTTAGTAGCGCAACGCGCTAACCGCTACACTACCGCTCCCCACACATACACACATACACACGTATAGCGCAGAGAGGCCATGGTCAGAATGTATCGGACAGTGCATTGCCAAGGAACGTGGAGAGCATTCCTTGAGGCCTCCGTGCCAGCTCGTGACTGAACTGTGCGGTGGGTGGGTTGGGGTAATTGGCCTGCTCTTCCAGGCGGCACAGACTTCTTGGAAGAATTTGGAGTACCCACACTTTACCCCATGACTGCACACGACCTGCCAATCAAATCCGTGGTCTACAACAGCGGTCCCCAACATCTTTGGCACCAGGGACCGGTTTCGTGGAAGACAATTTTTTCACGGACCGGGGGGGGGGATGTTCATCATTGGGTCTTTCCCCCTTTTCAAAAAAACTCTCCAGCGACATTTGTTTTTTACTCATTGTGGCTACAAGGGGTTAGAGCTTGTGAGCTTACCAACACTGTGACTGAGACGAGTGCGCAGTGCAGGAAAGAGGCGCGGAAGGAAGTGGTGAATAATAAAATAATGGGCAGGCCACGTGGGAACTCACTGCTCTCACCTCCTGCTGCTGTGCGGCCCGGTTCCTAGCAGGCCACGGACCGGTACCGGTCCGTGGCCCGGGGGTTGGGGACCCCTGGTCTACACAATCATACTGCTGGGTGGATAGAGGCGGGGAGTGTGGGGGGTGGGGTAAATATAAGAAACTTCCACCGTTGTTTCATTTGCCATGTCAGGGAGAGCTAATCGAAGTGGTGACCCCACGGAATGCCAGTCCGCTGCGCTAACCGCTTACACCGCAGCAACAACAGCAGCAATGGAGCAGCAGTAGCAAGAGAGCAGTAGCAGCAGCAATACAGCAGCAGCAACAGCAGAAGAAACAGGAGCAGCAACAACAGCAGCAGCAACACAACAGCAGCAGCAGCAACACAACAGTAGCAGCAATACATCAACAGCAGCAACAGCAGCAGCAGCGCTCCCTTGCTTGTGCGAGAGTCGTTAACTAAGATCCACGTCCCCGTGATCTGCCGGGGCAGCGGCAGGGCGAACTCATGAATTCTGAAAAGTCTGCGCGCCGTCTTATCATCCTCTGCCAAAAAAACCTCAACGGATAAGGAGGGCATGACAGAGGCAGCTGCGGCAGTGGCAGCAGCTTTAAACGATGTGGACGTAGGAGCTGTAACAGGATAAAATAGATCAGCGATAGAATTATAAATTATGCTCACGTAGAGGGAAGACAAAGTCAGCGTCGAGGGGAGGCCTAATATGGGTTTTTTTTTCGATCCACAAATCGTCTCTTTAGATCCAGAAATCATGTGGCAGGAATCTTAACGATAAAAAAATTTCGTATTCAAAATATCACGGCTTGATCCATGCTGGAACACATCGGCACACGCATTCAAAATATCATAGCCATGCTTGATCCATGCTCGGACACATACACACAAGTATTCAACATATCAATATATTTGCCTATGGGTTCGATCATGGATCAAGCAATGGATCAAGCATCGTACCGTAAAAAAAATCGCTCGATTCCCGTTTAATCGTGCATTGGATCGTTAAAAACACGTTGAATCCCATTCCGGTAATACTCATATGCGCAAAGTCACGCCCCAATAACCGTATATGCGCCTAAAACATTAACATAATTATTAATTCATTCTGTCTCCGATAAAATTGATCCTGTTACAGCGGTGCCGCTAATTGCCGCGATGGAGCGAGCCCGCTAGGGTCACCCCGCGCGGTAGCGCAAGAGGAGCACAACAAATTTCGTATACGAGAATTAAATAAATGTGTCTCGGAAGGGTACCGCGCGCCTTTGTTTCCCCCACCGGGCGCCGGGGGCTGACAAACACTTTGTTCCAATTAACCTTTGTCAGTGTTTAATGGTGATGCTGTTCAACTTCGTAACCCGTGGAGGGTTCCCGTGGTTTTGGTGAAAGGAGGTGGCCAATTAAGATAAGGTGGAGGCCCGTGTGGGTTTTGAACTGAATATTGGGGATGCTTCATCGTCGTCATCATCATCAGCAGGAGCAGCTATGGTCGATCCACTGCTGGATGAAGTTCTCCCGACGCACGCAATAATTAATAACACAATATCATAATGTATTCATTCATAACATGATTAATAATCAGGTGTGGTGGCACAGACACTGCATTATGGATTCAGCAAATCCGAGTTGGATTCCCGGGCAGGGCTAACATCAGAAGCGAGTGCGTGCTAAACGGGTCCTTGACCCTGCGGCGCTGAACCGATCATTCCATGGCGAGAACCCAGTGAGCCTTGGAATCTCTCTTGCAATGCGGGAACCAGTGTCAGATGGGTGCACATCACAGGAGCCAATCACAGGAGCCAATCACAGGAGCCATTCATAGTCGGCGGTCATTAATTAGCGCTCACGCTGGCGTTGCTTCGTCGAGCAGAGTCGTGACCCCAGCACGAAGAGACGCGACGACACGGGTAGCCGCATTAACGTCACGTGTGCCCGTCCTCGTCAGGTCGGAGAAGACGAGTTGACGATTAGCGATGTGGGTGGGAGGGAGACCGGCTAGGGCTCTGAGATGGATCAGGAGTTCTACGTACGTATGTTGAACTTCTTTCGCACCGTATGTAGCCAACCTTGCGAATCGGAGGTGCTGGTGGAAGGACATGACAGTATGAGTCTCTGTGTGAGTCTATGTACGTATGTTGAACTTCTTTCGCAACGTATGTAGCCAACCGTTGCTAATCGGAGGTGCGGGGGGAAGGACAATAAACTAAAACACAAAAAAAAACTGCTTTAAATAAATGAGTTTGTCAATCAAGATGATGATGATGATTTAAAAAAGTGCATAGCTCCCAGCCGCTTCCTAATATCGGGAGGAGCGTTCCAGACGGCCGCAGAAGCGCACGTGAAAGCGCTTGATGTGGTGGCCGTCT